TTTGGGATTCTGTCTCATTCTTCAAGTCTGGGAAGTTTTCTCGTATTATTTCATTGAATAGACTGCTCATTCCTTTGGTTTGGAGCTCTGTACCTTCCTGTATCCCAATGACTCTTAAGTTTGGTCTCTTAATGTTATCCCATATTTCTTGGATGTTCTGCTCATGGTTTCTTAAGAGTCTCGCTGAGCTGTCTATGTTCTTTTCCAGTTGAAATACTTTGTCTTCATTGTCTGATGTTCTATCTTCTAAGTGTTCTACTCTGCTGGTAGTATTCTCCATTGAGTTTTTAAGTTGGTTTATTGCTTCCTGCATTTCTAGGATTTCTGTTTGTTTGTTTTTTATAACCTCTATCTCCCTGTATAGTTGATCCTTTGCTTCCTGGATTTGTTTGCGTAATTCATTGTCGAAGTGATCTTTCATTGTCTGATTTTGCTGTCTAATGTCTTCCTTGATACTCCAGATCATCTGAAGCATGTATATCCTGAATTCTTTATCTGACATTCCATCTGCTGCAGCTGTTACCTCTTCTAAAGTTGCGTTGACCTGCATTGCTTGTGGTCCTTTCTTTCCTTGTCTTTTCATACTGCTTGCGTATCTTTCCCGCAGGCGCGGGCGGCGGCTCTGCTCTCTCCTTATTCCAATTGGGGTGTCGTGACTACCACGCCGGCAGGTCACTGGGCCTGTTCTGGGCGCTGGCGGCGGCTCTGTTCTGCCCCTACTCCAATTGGGGTGACGAGTGTACCACGCCGGCAGGCCACCGGGCCTGATCCGCCGGTCGGTTGCAGGTTTGCCTACCCTGCAGGCGCGGGCGGCGGCTCTACTCTGCCCCTACTCCAAATGGGGTGACGTGTCTGTCGTACTGGCAGGCCACTGGGCCTGTCCCGCTGGTCGGTCGCAGATCTGCCCACCTTTCGGGCACAGGTGGTGGCTCTGCTCTGCCCCTACTCCAATTGGGGTGTCGTGGCTACCCCGCCTGCAGGTCGCTGGGCCTGTTCCTGGCACAGGCGGCGACTCTGCTCTGCCCCTACTCCAATTAGGGTGGTGTGTGTACCACGCCGGCAGGCTTCTGGGCCTGATCCGCCGGTCTGTCGCAGGTCTGCCTACCTTGCAGGCGCGGGCGGCGGATGTGCCCTGCCCCTCCTACCACGCCTGCGGACCCCTGGGCCTAATCTGCAGGTTGGTCACAGGTCTGCTCACTCTGCGGGCACGGGTGGCGGTTCCGCTCCGCCCCCACTCCAATTGGGTTCACGTGACCACCACACCGGCAGGGCCTGATCCGGGCATGGGCGAAGGATCTGCTCTGCCCCTACTCCAGTTGGGGTGACGTGTGTACCACGCTGGCAGGCCACTGGGCCTGACCTGCCAGTCTGTCACAGGTCTGTTTACCTTGCAAGCGCGGGCGGCGGCTCTGCCCTGCCCCTCCTACCACGCCCATGTACCACTGGGTCGCGGGTCTGCCCACCTTGCGGGCGCGGGTGGCGGCTCCGCTCCGCCCCCTCTCCAATTGGGGTCACGCGGTCACCACGCTGGCGAGCCGCTGGGCCTGCTCCGCGCGCTGGCGGCGGCCCGGGTCCTCCCCTCTGGCTCGACGACAAATCGAGGAGACTCGGGTGCCTGTGCCTCACCCCCCCTACCAGGAGACCAACTGTTTCTGTCGCCGCTGGTATTGATGAAGTTCTCTCCTCCGCCGCTTTCTGATGACATCAGATCTCTGCCATGTTGGTATCCTATGTGAATGGCAGCATTTCGTTCCCCTTGCCGGGCAACCAAAGCAACGGGTGAGTCCTGACCGGCCCTCAGCAGGACCCAGACGAGAAGCAGTTTCCGCGGGCTCCTAGCCCTGGGCCAGGGCAGTTCCAGGAGCCGGAACTCGGCCGCTCCATGCTCGGTGTATGCTCTGATAGGAGCAGGGTCCAAGAAGCAGCCTCCGCAGGCTCCCCAGCCCTGGGCCAGGGCGGTTCCGGGAGCCAGAACTCGGCCACCCCGCGCTCGATGTTCGCTCCGATAAGAGCAGGTTCTAAGAAGCACCCAGGCACTGAGCCCGAGCAATCTGTCTGCAAGCTGCAGGCGAATGGCAGCCTGAAATTACCTGTTCTATGGCTGAATGAGCTGCGGTCATTCGAACACAGGGATGGTGACGTCAGCTTTCCAACATGGTGGCTGCTGGCCTCCTCTGTGGTCTGACCGGTGTGGAGAACCGAGATGGACCGCTTCCTTCCCCCGTCTCGAACCCAGAATTCAGCCCTGAGTACGATGCTTACACGGCTGGCAGAAACTGCAGCGCTGTATTCCTGCGTTGCTATCTCCTCGTTTCCCAGCGCGCGCTGCAGACTCTAGCCGCGGGGCGATTTGCTGAATAAGCAGTGTTACCCTCCGTGCGACAAACCTCTCGCGTTTGAGTCCCCGTAGCCGATCCTCGTGCGATGGAAATCCTTCCTCCAGGTTCCGGAGCACCCCACTATTGCTGGAAATTCCTAACAAGATAGCCTTTAGCCGTCCTGACTTGTCATACTCCCACACAGTGAAGCAGCACACGGGGGCAATGCACTCCCCTCGCCGCCATCTGCCTAATCTGTAGTGTACCTTTATACCATCTGTTTTTCCCCCTTTTTACTTATTTTTTCTTGTGTTTTAGTTTTTTTATAAAGTCAATTATTTTTAAAAGAAATTTAAAAAACAAAAGAAAATGTCTTCTATTTACATACTGTGTGTTTTAGTCAGCTTTTTCACTGCTATAATTAAAGGATCTGACTAGAACAACTGTAGAGGAAGAAAAGTTTATTTGAGGACTCATGGTGTCAGAGGTCTCAATTCATTGAATGATGGCTCCATTCCTCAGGGCTCATAATGAGGCTGAACATCATGGCAGGAGAGGGTGGTAGAGGGAAACAGCTCACATCACAGTGATTAGGAAACAGGGAGATTCCACTCTCCAGATACAAATATATACCCAAAGCTACACTCTAATTCCCACCTCCTTCAGCCACACCCTACCACTTTAGTTAGTCCTTATAAGGAGATTAAATCATCAGTTGGGTTAAGACTCACAACCCAATCATTTCTCTTCTGAACCTTTCACTGTCTTACATGTGAGCTTTTGGGGGACACCTCACATCCAAGCCATAACATTGAGTTTGTTAGTTTTTCATCACTGTGACAAAATACCTGAGAAAATCAACTTAAATAAGGAAAGATCTCTTTGTCAAGCCATCCCACCTTACCTCTCAGCTGCTATTGAGCCTTTCTCTTTATCCCTGCTTCTAAGTGGTTGATTGTAATATGCCTTAGTGGGTTTTTTCCCTCTTCTGTTTATTGTGCTTGGGATTTGTTCAGCTCTCTGGATAGTTGCAGTTTTTACCAAATTTGGAAATTTTTTCTCAAGAATTTTTTTATTCCTTTGTAGACTCCAATTCAATATTGTTCCATAGGTCACTGAGGCTCTGGCCTTTTAAAAATTTTTTGGTCACCTATTTCCCCTTTTTGTCCTTTGTTTTGAATACTTTTATTGTTCGGTCTTTAAGTTCATAGATATTTTCTTCTGCAGCTAAACTCATTCATTTAATTTTTTTCCAAGTATTTTTTTTTCTGTTATAGAAATTCTATTTATTTCTATTTTTTTTCTATTTTTTCATTATATTTTTTCTTTGAAATCTTTTAGCATGTTAATAATTCCACCCTCCCCTCTCTCCTGCCCCTACTGGGACTTGAACTCAGGGGCACATCTCCAATGCTTTTATTTTATTTTGAGGTAAGGTGTCCCCACATTTCCAAGGCTAGTCTCAAACTTGAAATCTTCTTACCTTAGCCTCCCATGTCACTAGGGTTATAGATGTGCACTGTTGTGTCTGGTTTATAGTAGCCTTTTAAAGGTCTTTGCTCATTCTGTATTCTCTGGTATTTCTGAGATTCTTTCTGTTAATTGATTTTTGTCCTGGTTATATTTCTAAGTCTTTCTATGTGTAGTAATTCTTGATTGCATGCTGTGAAATATGTTGTTGTTGTATATGTGTTCCTTATTTTAAGTTTCCTTTGAGGTATGTTGAATTTTATTTTAGCAAGCAGATAAATTATTTGTGGATTGGCTCAATCATTTTAAGGTGTAGAGTAGCCTTTACTTTCAGGCTAATTGAGCCCTCCTACTAAGCTCTCTTTCTTGAGCTCTCTATAGAAAGCGCTGAATGTTCAACGAAGCTCTTTAGAGCTCCTGTGTCTCCTGTCCTATGTGAGCTCTGGAGTTGTTCAGCTTAGAGCTCCCTGAAAATTGTTTTTTGCCTGTCCTTATGGAATTTCACTCTTATGTGCATACCTCAGCATTTGGCCAGACTCAAGCCGACTGTGAAAAATTATGGTGCTCCATCCCTGCTTATTTTCCTCAGTCTCCCCAAACTCTGATTGCTATCTTAGCTGAATGCCATTTTCTGCTTGGATTCTTTTTCCTTATGGCACAGTCTATGTGGTACCTTTAGGCAAAAACCCAAGATGATCTTAGGGCCCCAGGATGATCTTAGGGCTCATTTCATTCATTTTCCTTCTCTCAAGTATCACTGTCCTTCTCTGCCCCTTGTACAGAATCTGAAAATAGTTGTATCATGTTTTTTGATTAGTTTTTCTGATGTTTACAAGAAGAGGATAAGTCTTTCATGGCTAAAGGCATAAGTTCATGACAATTTTTTTTAAGTATTACTTATTTTTATTTAAGTGGTACTTAGTTAATGGGAATCCCAACTAGCTGATTATAGAAGATGTTATAGGGACATTTCTTTGAGGTTAGAGCCTTTGTTTTGACTTACTAGGTGTATAATTCTAAGTATGTACAGACTGGGCCATCTAAAGACGGCAAGATTGGTAGCAAGATATAACAATTTTCTTAGAAAAAATAAAAAATACTTTAGTTTTTGTGATACTCCCTTGAATCAGATTCTGTTCATGTAAATATTGCCTTCCTGATGGAAATGGATGTGGCTGTATTATTAATTGACTGTATCCTTTAACATTTTAGGAGCAGCATTTCTTGCCATTACAACCATTTATGCTGAGACTGGATCTGGTTTTGTAGTACCAAGTGCTTCTTCCAAAGCAGGTGTGGACGCCATGAACAAGTGAGAACTACCTTACTACCTCTTGCTGAAGATAGCTCATGGTACTAAAATTCCTGTTTTCTAGTCTTCACCCAAAGAAAAGTAAAACAAGACAAATTGAATTCACTAAGAGACACACATTCTCCTGGATTAGTCCTATTTTTCTGTAGCAGCACTATAAATAGAACTTTTTATAGTGATGGAAATGTCCTATAATTCCAATATACAACAGCCACATGTAGCCACTGAATCCTTGAAATGTAGCTACTGTGACTGAGAAACTAATTTTTGAAAAAAATTTTTAATAGTCACTTGGGGCCAGTATCTACTAATTAGGTACCACAGGACTACAGCCTTTTCCACTCTACCATGTGTCTTTACTAATGCCATTTCTAAACTTGTGAACACATCTTCATCCTTTTATTTTTCCTACTGTGCAAGATTAATGGGGCTAACACAGTCCATGAGCACTTGCCAAGATTAGTGGCTTTTCCTTGGCAGATTACGATGTCTTTTTGAGTTTGTTTTCCCCATCGTATTTGTTGTTATGGGGGTTTTCATTGCTTGTCTGGTTTAATAATCCTGTAATATATTTCTTTCCTTTCAGCCTCTTCCCCTTTTATTTTTTGTTCACATTCTCACCAGAAGTATTGTTCTTTATATATATGTGTATATATGATATTCCCTAGATAAAAACCTTCGCTCATATTCCATTAGTGTTTGGAATAAAAGCTGTAACTAAGTATGGCATTCTAAACAGACTTGTCCCTGGCCTTTGTGTTTTTAATCAATTTACTCACTAAGTGTTTTTTGTGTGCATGCCTTTGTGCAGAAACCAAGGATGTGGTTGTTATGGAAATAGAACAGCCTTGGTCCTCACCTATTTATATTTTTACACCATTTCATCCATTATTCCTGTGTTTTAATTTCCATTGAATTGTTTCACTTTTCCTTAAACATGCCAGTAGACAATTTCTTTGGTGTTGAGGATTGAATCCAGGAGTGCTTTACCACTGAGCCACAGCCCCAGCCTTTTTATTTTTTATTTTGAGACAGCGTCTCACTAAGTTATAGAGGCTATCCTCAAACTTGTGGTCCTCCTGCCTCAGCTTCCCTTCTTGCTGGGCTTACAGATGTGCACCACACTATACCTAGCTTATGCTAGACATTTTTATGTCTCTAACTGGGCTGTTGGATTTGCTACGATATATTGTCTACTTAAAGATTCTTGTCATATTACCTCTATGGCCATGTTTCCTCATTACACAGAATTAATTATCACTCTCTGTGCCTTAAGTCTTTGTTTAATCCAGTCTAGTGAGAAGACATACACACTGAAAAATAGATTCTAGATGAACTTAAAATATGTTGATGTAGCAGGGACACAGAGAAAGGAAAGATAGACTTTTAAACATAACATTAAAGCTGACTTCCCCCACTGGGGTGTGAGATCTATGAGAGGAGGGACCGTATTCTTGTGTCCTCATTACCCAGTAGGATTCTGGCACATTGCTGATGTTCAATGCTTGTTGAACTGCATTTCTATTCTCTTCTTCCTCAAGTTCCAAAATACTCTTAACATTTAGATCTGCAGTAACACATTTGTTGAGACAGAAAGAGAATTATTTTGTATCTTAGTCCATTTTGTGCTGCTATAAAAGAATACTTGAGCTGGATGCGGTGGTGCACACCTGTAATCCCAGCAAGTAGGGAAACCGAGGATCACAAGTTCAAAGCCAGCCTTGGAGATTTAGTGGGACTCTGTCTCAAATAAAAGGAGGGGGCTGGGACTGTAGCTCAGTGGCAGAGCACTTGCCTAGCATGTGTGAGGCATTGAGTTTTATCTTAGCACTACATAAAAATAAACAAGATGAAGGCATGCTGTCCATCTACAACTACAAAAACAGTAAATAAATAAAGAATAAAAAATAAAATAAAATAAAAGAAGGGCCGGGAACACAGGTTCAATCTCTGGCACCCAAAAAACAAAAAACAAAACAAACCCTGAAACTGGGTAATTTATAACAGGTCATTTATAAAGAAGTGATTTATTTATTCATAATTTTGGAGGCTGGGAAATCCAATATCAAGTCGCCAGAATCTGGCAACGGCCTTTTTGCTATATCCTTCCATGGCACAAAATGAAGAGAAAGCAAGAGGGGGGTCAACTTTGATTTATGAGAAGCCATTCTCGCCACAACTAACACGTTTCTGATTTAACATTAATTTAGTCTGCCCTCATGGCTTAATCACCTCTTATTAGGTCTCACCTCCCCAAACTATTGTTTGAGTATAAAATTTCTAATGCATGACCTTTGGGGACACAGTCAAACTATAGAAACTTTATTCAGAAGTTAAATCTTGTTCTGAATAATTACCTTTTTTTAATGTCAGAAAGAATTGGAAATAAAGGATGAAAACATGATAGCATTTGTGTAATGTCAGCATTTGTTTCATTGGCACCTTTGACTCTTTGTTAGAGGTTTCAATTTCATATCCTTTCAGGACTTGGATTCCATATGGCTTTTCTTTGTGTTCCTACATAGTGTATTGAGCTTAATAAATGCTCGATAAATATGTGCTTTTTTTTTTTAATAGCCTGAACTAACTAACCCTTTTTTCTACTTTATAGTACACAGTCAATTGGATAAAGGCCTGTAGATTCCCAAATATTGCATGTTGTCTGCACCTTTGCCCTTTACTCGTACTGACGCATATGCCTGAGCTGTATTTCTTTCTCCATATGCCTGGATCCCCGCATCCCTGCCATCATCCCCACATCCCTGCTGTCACCTCCTGCAGCAAACTCAATCTTTTTTAAGTGCCAGCTTCCATACCACCTCTTCAGGGGAGCCTTCGCTGACCTCTCAGTTTGAGTAGATATCTTGTCCTTCAAGCAGCCATGACACACTTTACATTATTCCAGGTACAACAAGTATACAACCAAATTGGCATCTCTTCAGATAGACTACTCTTTTGAGAACAGACACTGACTTCCTTACTGGGTACTACACAGTACTTATAGAGTGTTGGTGTTTATGATCAACATTTGTTGCATGAATAATAATGGCTAACATGTGTTGAGTATATTGTACCTCAACTTAACATGCAGATCTAACCAAATGAGATAGATTCCTTATCCTGTTCTTCAGTATATAACTTAGCTTAATGAGAGCAGATAGACTGTGCTAGCATGAAACAGATTTATCTGGTATACTTCTTAGAAGAGATAGGATGGCTTTTCTCCTAAGCGGATTTCCTTATTAAGTTGCTCAGTATTTTACCGGATAACAGATTCTGCTTGGCTGAGTAATTCTGTTAAAACATAAAGTTACTACTTCTCCAGCACTTTGGAGTAGGTGTTCTGTAAATACATGCCTATGGTAGGCATGGTCATGAATATTATTAAAAGGACCACTCACAGAAGCAATTTTTATTTTATATATGATTTGCCTGAAAGAGATGCTACCCACCCATTTTTATAAAATGCATCTAAGGTAAAAAGTGTATCACAGTGAAGACTACTATTATGTATGGTTGTTATTCACCTAAAATTAAAAAATAAATAAATAAAATGCATCTATGGACTAAGTCAGAGTAACAGACTGAACTGTTTCACATGTGCCGTATCACACAGAACTGGTTTTACTGAATTGACCTTTGAAGTACTGTCTGACTATAATAAGGGTATCTTATAGTCTCATAAAACTTATCCTTTTTTTATCCACTGCAAAGATACAATGTCTTAAGGACATTTTTATGTTATGCAATTTTCCTTTTATAAATCTTCTCGGAAGAAATATTCTAATTTTTGTATCAGAAACAATTGTGTTTTTCTGAAGCATTAGTTTGCTCCTTTTTGGGGGGCACAGTGAACCATGTAACTGATTAGGCTTACCTTTTTTATATAGGGTTATAGAAAGAGTGGATAGAAATTTGTGACCTGCCTATTACAATCCATATGAAACATCATAATATATTTAGAGGTTTATTTCATTCTTTGCACCTTTGTATTTCTTATCCTTTTCTTTTTCCTTGCCTTTCTTGTCTTCTCATTTGCATTATCTATATTTTTAAGCTACCCTAACTCATTAATTGAAACTAAATTAAGTTTCTTTATACAAACAAATATACATACAGTATAAATTCATAAAATGAGTTTATATTTTTTAAAAAAGAATGATCTGTCAAGTATGTTTGTCAGTTTGTTTCAAGTTTCCATGTTTGCTATTAATGTTATATTTTGCTTCAAGACATTTAGTAAGGCTGCATTAGATTTTTATTACCTTTAAAGCTCAATTCAACAATTATATTAAAGACTAGATAAACATGGATGTGGTTGATATTTTAAGTCTGTGTAATTCACTTCTTATTCAATTAAAGAACTTGTGATGCTGCAGACATTGGAATCCAGTGCCCAGGGTTACAAGTAAAATTATAATGAACTTTGTAAATGTAGTATTGAACTCCAGAAAATGGGAGGGAAGGGCTTGAAGCTTTCACGTTTTTATGTGCTTAGTGTATACCTACTCTAAAATTTGTATTGATACTGGATTTCTTATTCTGTAGTGTAAATGATAAGTGGCATAGCGAGTAAAGACATTAAAACAAATGGTAGTGGTACAGCAGAGTGACTCAGGGCACAAACTCTGGGGCTAGACCACTTGAGGTTGATAGATTAGTCATATAACCTAGGGAAAATGATTTCACCTGTCTTTACCTTCACTTTACCTTATCTATAACATAGGAAATAATACTATTATGTACCTAGAGGGGTATTATAATCTTTGGTGTGGATTAAGAATGCAGTGAATCTTGGTTATTTGTGGTTCTCAGAATATGGTGTAATCTTTTTAATGTGTTTTGTCTTTTTAAATTTTTAGGTCCCTTGCAGCTGAATGGGGTAAATATGGAATGCGATTCAATGTAATTCAGCCGGGGCCTATAAAAACTAAAGTAAGTTATAGTTGCCTTATTTTAACAGTGTAAATGATTAAAGAATGAAGCAGTGATGAATGCACTCTGGGTGGCATAGGAAGGACTGTCCAGTATGGAAGAGAGCTTTTGGCATTGTTCAACATGAGAAATAATGGGATGGGAAGGGATATAGCAGCTGTGGAACATCATGATGAGGTCTGTTTCATTGTCTTCTAGGACCTTTTAAACCATCAGTACTGACTTGTTTTTCCAATTTGCTTCTGTTATTGTAATCTGTTATTGTCTGGTATTTTTTTCATTTTTGCCAAATTTTAAGGACTCTTGTTACTTTGACTTCTTTTCTTTTTTTAATCATGGAAATGTAACTATATTTTTAGTTTAAGAAGTGCCCTAAAATTTGATCATGAAGCGAAGCTCGGTCTTGCTATAGGTAGCATTTTCTTTGACTCATTCCTGTGCCTTTTCACTTTCCATCAATTATGGATGTCATCCAACTCCTACGTTTCTCTGATTAAAAATCCTCCCGAAGGCATGCATTTCACCTATAAATAATAATCCTTACAGATACTCATTGCAACTCATAATTATCACTAATGCTGCTACAGATGTTGCTCAGAATGTCCACAGGTTCTCTGTTCTCTAACATTACCCCCAGATAATTTGACTTTCACACCTTTTGTTGGCATGTGAAACAGGATTTTATAATCTCAACTGGGTTATGGCTGGAAAACCTAATCAAAATGCATAAGAATATAATAAATAAGACTAAAGAACATTTGGGTGGCAAGGTAGCTCTGGGATATTAAATTTTAACATGGAAATGGCAAGAACAATTTATTTAGCTGTTTAATGTGTGGAATGAAAAAATTACCAGAGTGAAGCTTGATTGAATATCTTCTTATCTGACACTTCAATAATAAAGAATCTAATAAAAGCAGGGAAAAAATAACTCAAAAACATTTATTAAAACACATGGCTTAGGGTGGCCTGTGCTCAGAATTATCTGAAAAGAATTCTGCAGTTACAGAAACTTATTCCCTGGACTCCAATATCTAGGAAAGATCACTTTCATGTTACTATTTATTTAACATACATTTAATGAGTGGCCACTGTGCACAAAAGTACTGGGAATGATACAACAACATTTGTGACAAAGTTCTTGCTATCAAGGAACTTATAGTCTAGCAGTGGAAATATGACTTCTACCCAAAGATTAGGTACATAGTTTTAAAGAGATTAAAGAAAGCTGAAGAGTAGAAGCTCTCTAGCAAGTGCAGATAGAACCAGGGTTGGGACCAGTGTCTATGCCCTATCTGTCTAGGGAGAACTAGAGGACCTATAAAGAGTCTCAGGTGTGTGTTCTGTCTCAGAACTGTGTTGAGAAAAACCATTATCTACAATTCAAGGCTCTAGGACAGAAAGCTCCAGTCATTTTTATTGATCAGTGCATATCTATACCTCATCTTGCTCTGTTCCTTCACATCATTAACATAAAAACAAATTGACTAAGTTAGTTATGGTTTTTCTTTAAGATCTACGTGATTTTAATATCATAACATGCTTGTTTTATTCCTTTCTTATTATTCTGGGAAGAAGAAAAGAAAGTACCTCCTACTTGAGTCACCTTTCTCTGTTCACTAAATGAAATGACCAGTAATTCCAACTGCCTCCACCACACTGAGCTTGTACATTTTTCAGAGGACTTTTGTATACATTTGCTCATTTGATGTTTACAACTTGGTGAGGTAGCTAAGGTACATGTCCTCATTTTACAGAGAAGAAACTAAGGTTAATAGTTATGTTTTCTATTGATTTTTTTTTTTAAATTTCAAATTTAGGTAAAATGACCTGTTTTGGCTTAGAGTGAATATTAAAGAATTTAGTGAAATTCTGTCACTCCCAAAGCCTAAGGTATGAACAGGCTGCCATAGTAGCATTTCATTTTTTGCAAATTTAAGTAGGAAAATGGTTGGATTAAACACACACACACACACACAAAACAAACAAACAAACAAACAAACAAAAACCCTAATGATTTTCTTAATTTTAAAGGGTGCCTTTAGCCGTTTGGACCCAGCTGGGACATTTGAGAAAGAAATGATTGACAGAATTCCCTGTGGACGCCTGGGGACCATGGAAGAACTTGCAAATCTTGCTGTTTTTCTTTGTAGTGATTATGCTTCTTGGATTAATGGAGCAGTAAGCATTTCATCTCTTTGACTTTTGGGGAGTTTGGGAAGCCTTAATTTGGAAGCAGTTCTGACAATGTTGCATATAAATATGATTTAAAATATTTATTTAGCTGTAAATAATATAAAAATATTACATTTTAGCTCATAAAAATTATTCAATAAATTATTTTATTAATTGCAAGTTACCTTGGTAGGCAAAGCTTTAAGATGATCTTTTAAGATTGGGTTGAATTTGAAATTGTAGAGATGTTGGAAAGAGTATTCTGAATAGAATATATCAGTTTAACTTTAATCATCAGTTTTATTCTTTAAAATTTGGTTTTGAAAGTACTAAGGAGATATTTCAACCAATTAGGGTATGAAAATGGGAATGGTTCGGAAGCTTTTAAAAAGAAGCTAGTTTCAGAGTTTTTAATTTTTTTTTTCAGACTATTAGATTTGATGGTGGAGAGGAAGTATTTATATCAGGTGAATTCAACAGCCTAAGGAAGGTAATGCCATTTTGTGTATATAATCAATATTAGTAGCTAGCAATATTATATGCTAAACTTTGTAAACATGCAAGAAACCCTTTAAATTGACATTTTTTTTCTTCTATCAGGTCACCAAGGAGGAGTGGGACACAATAGAGGGACTCATCCGAAAGACAAAGGGCTCTTAAGATCACTCTGGCCTTAATCTTGGGTGCTGTAAAATTTAGAGACTAAAAATGATATAAATTGACTGTAATCTTTCAAGTATTTTCAAGTCTAATAAATTGTCAATTAACAAGCATTTGCTGAGAGTATACTGTGTACCTGGCCAGTGGAAGTTATTACATATTTAAAGATGAATAAGATAGGATATCACCTGTTCAATTTTTTTGTTTTGTTAAGTAGGTGGGAGAATGGAGAAAGGCCTAGAGGTGAAAAGTGCTTAGAAGTACAGAGTGAGGCACTGGTAGTTGTGATCTGGAAAGTCAAGGGAAACCTGATGGTGAGAGTAGCATGTAAGTTGCATATTACACTATGCTTATTGTGCTGGGGCATAAAGGAAAGAAATCTACACTAAATTCAATGGATTCCACCTTTCTAATAATTTCTTTTTCATTAAACTTGTGAATTATCTTCTTTTTTTAAATTTGAAGTTACTCATTTTGTTTAGTTATACCGTCAGTGGTATATATTTTAACATATTATGCATACATAGAGTGTAACTTCCCATTCTTGTGGTTTTGTATAATGTGGAGTCATGTATTCATACATGAAAATAGGAAAGTTATGCCCAATTCATTCTACTGTCTTTCCTATTTCCATCCCTTGCCCTCTTGAAACTTCATTATCTATCAGGATAGGTAGACAGGTAAACAATTAGGCATGACACATTTATTCTAGCAGTATTAAAGTGTGGAGGAAGAAGTTACTCATTTTGTTTCTTAAGTTCAGAGAAGGTGGCTCCCATGAGACAGCATTCATCTCAGCCTTAAAGAAACTAGATTTCTCTGGGTAGAGAAGATAAATAAAGCATATAAAATATTTTTGTGTGTATAATTTCATATTTTGTTGACTAATTTATAATCGTGAGAATAGAATAAGAAAACCAAAGGCTTGAGTCTACAGTTATAATTTTGAACCTAGAAGGCCATTTGCTTTCATAGAAGTCACTGATAACATGTTCACTAGACTGAGTATCCCTGTTGCCCAAATTGTTCAGATAGGGGACCAGCTTCTATCTTACTTCATCTGAAGAGGTCCATGGAGGAATTCAGTTTTCCTATTTGAATTATATGCTATAAACCTTTTAAGGCAATCTTTTTACTTTGATAATTGTGAATATCAATTACATTTATTATATTTTATAGTGTACACTCAGGATAATGTTATAGGCTTGGAATAAATGCCCTTGGTTTTCACTAGCTTTTTAGGATGTTAACACTTTCTGTATACTCTTCAGTACAAATACCCCATCTCCATTTACCTTAAACAGTAATCCTTGTTTTCTTCTCACTCATCTTTTTTTAATTGTTAGTATTTCCCATAGTGTTAAGAAAGAAAAGTGCTGGTAGTTTTAAGACCTTGTGTCTTACTTTTTATTTTCTTCATCTATTATAATATCTGCTTCATGGATTGTTAAGTGAGATGAAACAAACAAATAAAAACACTATAAAGTAGCAAATAAACAAATGAAAGATGGCCTTTCTAGTTTTTGTACCTTTTATTTTTAAGACCTGGTTGTTATAGAAAAAGTGAGAATGCAAAAGAATAGAAAAGGACAAGCTCACTAATTTCATAAGGAAAACTTATGTTCATACTTTGGAATAAGTTTTCACCCTTTTGCTCTTTCACTTAATTATTTTTATGAAAGTCATCTCTGTATAATTTACACAGAGGCTACTGCAGTCCTCCCTCAACTGCTCATTTTCCAACTATTTTCAGCTCTTTTGACTATTTTTTCTTTATAGAATACACTTCTTGTTTTTAAAGCAACACACTAATTTGCAATTTCTTAAATTTTTCCAGTTTTAGAAGTTTGTTTCTTCCATGAATGATGGTTTAACATTCTTATTCCATTTCTATACCCACCTTCCACCCACCACCTGTCACCAAAAATACACGGACATAGACACACTCTCTTCACTACTTTCACCAATATATCCATATATTGGGTAAATGAATATTATATTTATATTTTTATAATTTTAAAAATATTTTCTCTAGTGTTTTCTCAACCACCTTCTTTTCTTTTCATAGTTCAGATTATATGACCAATCAGATCCTACTTTTTTTTAATAAAAGTATGATTTTTAGTGTTCTCTGGTTTACAAATATCACAATTTAATTCTTTGTTCTTAGAATTCTTATTTTTAATTACATTTTTTCCTTCAAAGATGCTTATTGGTTTGCCTTTTGGCAGTGCATTTTAAAATTATTATTTTTGATTCACACATCATAACTGGATACATTTATGGAGGACAGTCTGTTTTGATGAATGTATAAAATGTGGAATGATTAATTAAGTTAATTAACAGATCCATCACGTGGCTGATCTATGTCATTTTAATGGTGAAATATTTGAAATTTATTTTGTCATTTTGAAATTTAAAATACATTACTATTAACTGTAGTTCCCATGCTGTGCAATAGATCTCAAAACCTGTTCCTTCTGTTTAAAATTCCTTTGATCAACACTCCCTATCACCACCACTTTTGGAAACAATTCTTCTATTTTCTACTTCTGAGTTCAATATTCTTAGATTCCACATGTAAATGATATCATAGGTTATTTTGTTAGTCATATAAATAAAACTATGTGAACATATTTGTGTGCTTAAAACATTTTTATAATTTGGATTTTTTTTCCTCATGACAGATTGTTTCTTGAGTACCAGGGATTGAACTCAGGGCACTGAACCATTGAGCCACATCCCCAGCCCTATTTTGTATTTTATTGAGAGACAGGGTCTCACTGAGTTGCTTAGTGCCTTGCTGTTGCTGAGGCTGTCTTTGATCTCATGATCTTCTTCCCTCAGCCTCCCGAGCCACTGGAATTACAGGCATGTAATGCCACTGCACTCCTGGCTTCCTCATGACAGATTCTTAGAAGTAGTAGTATCAATCAAAGGTTCTGAAGCTTTTAAATGCCTTGGATACTCATTTCCAAATTTTTATCCAAAAATTTGTATGGGCTTAACCCTCCCTGAGCAATGTCTGATGATTCCAATTTCAACAAATAGCTGCCAACAATGAAAACTATTTACCAATTTTATAAGAAACAAAGGATAGCTCTTTTACAAATGTGTCCAATTACTAGTGAGTTTTAACACTTTTCTATACTTGAGAATTTTGTGTTTGTCATTTTACTTGTTGGAACCTTAATGGTATATTTAAATTTTTTATTTGTTATGAGTTTGTATGCATTTTCCCTTCTATTAGTTATCTCTTAAAGTTTGTCTTATCATATTACAAGAGGTGGATGAGGGAGATAAGTTTATGAGCATGACGGAGAGGACCAAACATGGAGATTTCCCCTACCAGACATTCTTCCTGAGTCTGAAAGAGAAACAGATGTTACTTATGGATAATCAGTGTCCTGATTACGACTGCCTTTGGGCCATAACCACATCAGTGTCTCATCTCAAGAATTATTACTGTCACTCAGATACTTATAGTCCTGTTCCTGTTGCACTAATGGAAGAATTAATATGCAGCCATTTAAAGTAAGGGCTGTTGTTAACATCTTAAAACTGACTTGGGGAAACCACCAGGAAATATTTCTATTATAGAGGGACAATCATTTCTTCCTTTTTATTCTTGTGGAAACTAAAGCAGCAAGAATGTGACTGCACCATATTTTTTTTGGTGTCAGGGTGTGTGTGTGTGTGTGTGTGTGTGTGTGTGTGTGTACACCAGGGATTAAACTCAGGGGCACTCAGCCACTGAGGCCACATCCCGAGCCCTGTTTTGTATTTTATTTAGAGACAGGGTCTTACTGGGTTGCTTAGTGCCTCGCTTTTGCTGAGGCTCGCTTTGAATTCTTGATCCTTCTGCCTCAGCCTCCTGAGCCACTGGGATTCCAGGAGTGTACCACTGCTCCCACATGAATAGTAGAATCTTATAGTTGGAGAAGCCTTAATTTAAAAAGTGTACCAATCATGAATTATCACAAAATTAGCATACACATGTAACCTAAATACAGGTCAAGAAACAATATTACCAGAAATCTAGAAACCTTTCTATCCTCCATCAAGACTCCCCACCTCCTTTTAAGAACACTTTTTTTTTTTTTTGTGGTACTGGGGATTGAACTTAGGGCCTTGTGCATGTAAGGCAAGAACTCTACCATCTGAGCTATATCCCCAGCCCCAAAACCATGATCTTGACATTTAACACCACCATAGTTAGTGTGCTTTAGAAATTATATAAATAGAATCATGCAACATATATTCTGTTTCTGGCTTTTTTATGTGTGGTAACTGATTGCACATCCTCATTGTCTTAGATCATTCCTTTGAATATATACTGTATATGAATATACATAATTTATTAGTTCTGTTAGTGGATATTTGGGTTGTTTCCAGTTTGAGGCCTTGACAAATATAGTGCTGCTGTGAACATGCTTGTCATTTGGGTGGGGGAGTGTGTGTATATATATACACACACACATATGTACATATCTTTCACCATTATTTTGATAATACATAGAAGTGAAATTTGCTGGGTTATAATGTATGCATATTTCAAATTTAGTAGATACTGCTAAATGGCTTTGTCAAGTATTTGCAGTTTGACCTCCCATCATGTAGTATGTGAGAATCTCCACTGTACCACATCCTTATCAATATTTAGCAAAGTCATTTTACTTTTGGCATTTTTGATGAGCGTATGGTTTTTGTTTGATGAGCGTATGGATCTTGTTTTTTAAAATTACCATTTCTCCTGATCAGTGATACAGTTGATTACTTTTTATATGCTTATTAGAAATTTACATATTCTTTTATTTGTGAAATGCCTATTAAGCTTTCTTACATATTTCTCAATTGGGTTATATTTTTAAAAATTTATTTTTACAAGTATTATATTTTTGATATATGTGCTTTTGTGTTATAATTGTTGCAAATATCTTCTCCCACACTGAAATTTTATTTTTCTCTCCTAACAGTGTCTTTTCCTTTAGTGAACAAGCTCCATTTAAAGAATAGTGGCCATTTTTGCTGTTTAGTAAATCACTTTAGGAAACGTCCTAGTCCTATCTTCCTAGGAAGGAAACCATCATGGTCATAGACTGTTGGGAGCCTG